GGATAATGGCTGTTTCGGGAACTACCAATAAGAACGTAAGAAGAGCCCTGCTGGATCGGGCCAGGGGCCCATCTAGTCCAGCTCCCTGTATCTCACAGGGGCCCCACCAGATGCCCCTGGAAGCACACAAGACAATGCAAGACCTGTCTCTTGATACCCCCTCCCCTGGATTTTGAGGTCCCTTCATTTGAAGCCTGGAGATGATGCATCCCCGTCATGGCTTTTAACCTGAAATGGACTTTTCCTCCAGGAATCTGTCCTTTTAAAGGCATCTAGGCAAGATGCCATCACCACATCCTGTAGCAAGGAGTTCCACAGACTAACAACATGCTGGGTAAAGAAATATTTTCATTAGTCTGTTCTAGGTCTTCTTAGAAACACGCCTACACCCATACCTGTACATTCGTGAAGTGTAGGGTGAACAAAGCAGGAAGTGGGGCTTTTTGGTTTAGTTTCAGGGCATTGTGTGGTCACGGCAGATTCCAAGATGTTAAAAACTTCCTAGAACTTGCCTAGCCTTCAGGGTGGTCCCAAATGTGGAAGGGCACTAAGAGGCAACCCCCCCCCTCCTCAAAAGCAGGTGGGTACAGCCAAAAGCATTGAGGCAGCTGTTAAAAAATAAATGGCCAGCTCATTTATCAATATTCAACGCCATTAATGTGATTCCTGGCACCCTCAAAGCCAAGGTTAAATGGCGACCCAAGCCCTCCTCTCCCTGCCGGGGCCTGGGGTTCCATCAGATTGGCTGAACCCTTCAAGGGCCAGCGTGGGTGGGTTCTCCTCCCTGCTCATGGGCCTCTCTCTCTCCCACTCTTCGCCACTTACCCACAGGGCTGAAGTTGAAAAGCGGGGGCAAGTCACGGCCGTTCGGCAGCCGAGTGTTAGGCTCACGGAGCTCGTCAAAGAAGCTGTTGGCGCAGGCTTCGAGCGGGGAGAGGCGAGTGGCGGGCGTGTACTCCAGCAGCCGGCTGCACAGCGAGATGGCCTCCAGCGGCGTGCGAGGTTTGAACACCTGGCACGAGGAGACACCAGAGACAAGGGTACAGGGGGTCATCCTTGAGCCAAAAAATGCCCTCCTCCCTCCCTCTCGCCCACCCCATCCCCACATTTCCACTTCTTTGAAAAAGGATTGCCTAACGAACCAATCTCTGCGAATCAGCCTATCTGAGATTTACATTCGTCAGTTGCATCTTAAAAACAGTCGAATCCGCTGAATGTCTAACAAATGAAGGTCCAAAAGGAAAGTGAGCGGCCAAAGCAAAGGCCGCCCCCCTTCTATTCATCTCAGCATCATTTCAATCTCCTGTACCTTTATCCAAGGATGTGCTTTGATCTGGGGGAATTTGAACTCTGTGTAGTTAGGATTCATCTCTCGGATCTGTTCTCGTGTTGGGGTCCCCAGAACCTTTGGGGGGGGAGAAGAGGACACAGTTAAAAGCAAGGCTTCCCGCTGCTGCTTTTCAGATTCCGTCCATCTCAGCAGTTTCCACACGTTTTGGTATCATGCTCTCTTGCATTCTTGGATTTAACTAAGAAATCGTCATGCCTCCAGTCCTCACCTCTCCTTTACCACTATCTACCCCTTTTGAATAAAGCCCACAGATGTTTAACATTAGCAGAACTATTTCACCTAATGCAGGAACAATGGCATAATCAACACAACCATCCCTACCAGTGTTAACAAAGCCACTGTCACTTTCTGGGTCCTATTTCATTCTGACCTCACCCCTAAAACTATTTAAACGTGTGGCCAAAGTAACGTCAGAAGACAGCAACTGGAGAAGTGAATTGTAATCCCCCAAAGTATATGTTCCAATATACCGGTTAATCCTAAATGCGCTACAAGACATTATTTTTTAGTTTTTTCCGTCGTTACCTTGATGATCTCCACCAGCTGGTCCACCCCACTGTCTCCAGGAAATATGGGCTGCCCTAGCAGCAGTTCTGCCAGCACACAGCCAGCAGACCAGATATCTAGGAAAGAGAGGAAAAGGTTCTTCAGGGGCAGTGGGCTTTCTGGGGAAACAGCCCAGGTGTTGAATACAGGAGGCCAGGAGACTGGAGTTCACGTTTTCGTTACAGAAAAGGAAATACCTGCATGTGCCATGCAAAGGGTCCCAGTCTCCACGCCTCACATTGCCAAGTAAGGATGAGTAAGACCTGGGAGACCCATGGCTGATTAGCAGAAGATTCTGGACTCGCAGTGGTGGGTGAACTTTAAGGCCGAGGTGGGCCACTGTAGCCTTCAACTCCCATCGGCCCTACCTAGCCAGCACAACCAGGGGGAGCAGAGGTTGAGGGCCGAAATCCAAAACATCTCATGGGCCACTGCTGCTGAGGCCACGGCCAGGACAACTTAGGTGGAATGAAGCCACATCGCACCATCTTAACAAGTGGCATTTCCAGCAGCTGTCATATCCGATTATGCGCAAAATGTGCTTTCCTCGGCAACCAGGTCCCCCACAAATATTAATGCTGCATGGATGTACAGGGAGCAAAGAGAGACAAGCTGGGGGGGGGCGAAAGACAGTCCCGGTTCTCACCTATGTTTGAGGTGTAGTCGGTGGCCCCAAAGATGAGCTCGGGAGCACGATAGTAGCGAGAGCAGATGTAGGAGACGTTGGGTTCTCCCCGCACCAGCTGCTTTGCACTGAAAAGAAAACGAAGAGGAAAGTAGGGGTGTCTGTGAAATGACAGTCTTTTCTCGTGGGTAGTGTCAGACCAGGACTGGGAAGGGCAGAGTTCAAATCCACCCTTAGCCTTGAAGCTCCATGAATGATCAGCAGCCTGTTGCTTCCTCTCTTTTTTTACCCTCACTGCTATGCCAAAAGGACAAAATGGCAGGGAATGGAAAATTCTGGCTGGTTGAGGGGTCCGTTTTGCCCCCCTGGAGACCCATCTTAAGCTACAAATCTCCCCCCCACAACAAAAATGTGATTCTTTTCTTTGGGGGTGGGGTGTTGTTTTGCAATTTTCTTCCCTAAATGAGAAGTGAATAGAAGTTCATTTCCAGTTTTGGAGAAATGTCCGAAAATCCTCCTGACACATATGTTCAAGCAAGACCCTATATGTGCTTGGCTTTGTAGGGGGAACTGCTGCACTAGGAAGAGTCCCAATGCTTCTGGGCCATTCATTCATTGTTTTGGGAAGACAAGGGAAGTTGCAAAATAGGTTGGGGGGCCACAGCCAGCCTGCTAGCCATACACTGCTCATCCCTGATATAAAGGATTTTTCTCCCATGCCACCAAAACAAAGTAGTGAAAATTCCACTGGAAGTCTTTAAAGGCCATCAATAAAAACAGGAGATAAAAGCAGCATGAACCTTAATTCATAAGCCTTTAGGACGTGGTGGCGCTGCGGGCTAAACTGCAGAAGCCTGTGCTGCAGGGTCAGAAGACCAAGCAGTCGTAAGATCGAATCCACGCAACGGAGTGAGCGCTCGTCGCTTGTCCCAGCTCCCGCCAACGTAGCGGTTCGAAAGCACGCAAATGCGAGTAGATAAATAGGGACCACCTCGGTGGGAAGGTAACAGTGTTCCGTGTCTAAGTCGCACTGGCCATATGACCACGGAAGATTGTCTTCGGACAAAATGCTGGCTCTATGGCTTGGAAACGGGGATGAGCGCCACCCCCTAGAGTCGAACACGACTGGACAAAAATTGTCAAGGGGAACCTTTACCTTTTACCTTTAGGACATGATTAAAAGACCTGGGAGAGTAAAAAGCTGTTGGGAATTCATAAGCCTTTAGGACATGGGAGAGTAAAAAGCTGTTGGCTCCGGATCTCATCATCATCTATCTTACTACAGATGAATACAGGCAAGCAGGTGTGGAGGAGAGACAATTCTATTCACTGAATATGAATTTACTAAATAAAGAGATCGACCCCATTTGAAGCCCAAGAGTTTCCGAATACGAGAGAAAGGAACCAACCCAAGATACAATGAAAACTACACAGTTGCAGTCTTCGGACAAAATGCTGGCTCTATGGCTTGGAAACGGGGATGAGCGCCACCCCCTAGAGTCGAACACGACTGGACAAAAATTGTCAAGGGGAACCTTTACCTTTTACCTTTAGGACATGATTAAAAGACCTGGGAGAGTAAAAAGCTGTTGGCTCCGGATCTCATCATCATCATCATAATCAATCTTACTACATATGAATACAGGCAAGCAGGTGTGGAGGAAGGCAATTCTATTCACTGAATATGAATTTACTAAATAAAGAGATCGACCCCATTTGAAGCCCAAGAGTTTCCGAATACGAGAGAAAGGAACCAACCCAAGATACAATGAAAACTACACAGTTGCACCCTCACTCCAGTAATGTATGCAGTTGGACAAGACCAAACCAATGCCAATTATACAATCTAAAGATAAATATATCTTTTACACACACGAGACTGCATGTTCAACCTTGTTCCACAGGCATGCAGAAAAGATGCTGAATAAAGCATTAAACACACCATCCTAAGCATTACTGCTTGCATTTAAAACAAATGCAACTTAAGTTACTTTAGCCCACAATACTGCAAAATTACAGTCCTGAGTCTACAGCTCATGCCTAGTCAGGTCTCAGCTAACCAAACAAGCTGTAGACCATCTCAGCTCCTTGCCCCTTTCCCTCCAGCTAACAAAAGGAAAATAAATTATGTGAAACAGTAAATTATGCCACGGCACAAGAAGTCAAGCTTGTTTAATTTATGCAGGTCACCCCATCTTGCTTTTCTAGTTGAAAATTTTAGGTTCCACAGGCACAGGGTAGATAAAAATCAAAGATCTTTTAAAAATCAAATGGATTGAAATCACGATTTAAATCGTAGAGTGAAAACATTTAAATTAAAACTGTGATTTAAATCCATTTGATTTAAACCAAATCCACTCTGCACAGGCAGAACCTTTTCACTAATACATGTAGTAATTGTATACAAGGCTGTACACAACTTTAGTGAATCTTTCCTTTGATTACAGGCTTTTAAGGTTTGTAATCTGCCCAGGTCATTAATTCATCAATTAAACTAATCCCTTAAAAAGACAGCTTAGTGAAATGTTTGGAGCACCAGAATTCTGGAGCCCCTTTTTTAAATGGCTATGTACTGTACTTTGCCAGGAAGACTCAGGAGTGATTGGGGAGTGATCATGATTGGTTTAGGTTTGCTTTTAAAAACACTGTCTTGGTTTTTTAAAAAATAATGGTAGCCTCATTAAAACCATATTGAGAGCTCTAGGAAGGAGAAGGGCGATAAACAAATGCTAAAAGGGACACAGGCGGTGCTGCAGGTTAAACCGCTGAGCAAAAGGTCGGCAGTTCAAATCCGCGCAACGCGGTGAGCGCCCGCCGCTCGTCCCAGCTCCTGCCAACCAAGCAGCTTGAAAGCATGCAAATGAGAGTAGATGAATAGGTACCACTTTGGTGGGAAGGTAACAGTGGTCTGTGTCTCTAGTCATGCCGGCCACGTGTCCACCGAACATGTCTAAAGACAAACGGCAGCTCTTTGGCTTACAAACTGGGATGAGCACCGGCCCCTAAAGTCGGACACAACTGGGCTTAATTGTCAAAGGGGACCTTTAAACAAATGCTATGAATACACAAAATATATGACAAAGAAAAAGAGCTGAGCCGACTGCACAAGTAGCTGCGCTACAGGCAGCGGCTTCTGTTGCCACTCTCTCACCTGCCAAAGTCACAAAGCTTCAATACTGCTGTATCGGGGTCCACCAGCAGGTTCTGGGGTTTGATGTCGCGATGACACACGCCTTGAGAATGGATATAAGCCAGACTGCGGAACAGCTGGTACATATACACCTTGGTTGAGGAGGGAAGAGACAGGCATTTAGTTTCGACCAGGAAAAGCCTCTGTGATGCCACATGCCAAAGAACCCCCTCTTGTACAGGGCAACCAACTCATCTATGGGTACCAACGCTGTAGGCCGAAAGATACATAAGAGGTAGTGCCTCCGCGCAGTACATAGACCAAACTATGGAGCCCTGCTATGGTGGGGATGCCATGATCGCCAGCATGTGGTTTTAAGTTAACCAAAATATAATGACATTGCGGTTGCTACAACAGCCAGAAAGACATTTGGCAGAGTCTGACGGAGGCCACGTCACCCCCCAATCACTTGAACAAACCAATGTAGCCAGCTTTCCAAAATACAGGCTGTATTTCAGCTTACTGGTTTGTCACTTTTGGTAGAATCGTGGCAACACAGAATAACGCGCCCTACTTTCTTGACAAGTTCTAAGTCACGCTGCATCACCTTTTCAAATCTAGTGCTCTCCAGACCATTTAGACTACGATGCCAAGAATTACTGGTTATTGGCCAGGGTGGATGTGGCCGATGGGAGTTAAGGTCCAAAACAAACAAACAAACAAAAGGAACACACCAGCTTGGGGAAACTTGCAACACACCAAGAGAGTTTAGCCGTGGGGAGGCCCAGGAGGCACCCCAAACAGCACATTAAAAAAAAGGAAAGGAACTTTTTTTCTACCCTCTTTTCCTACACTGCCTCGATTCTAGCCAAATGCAAGCAGGCCAGAGAGCCTAAGGAAGGTGGGTGGTGAAAATAGACTCTGAGAAGGTGAAAGGAGGTAGGCAAGAATATTGAGATGGGGTGAAAGGGGGTCCCAGGGAAAAGTGGCATAGAGGAGCAACACAGAAGCGAAGTCCAGGAGAGGAAAGAAAACTCACACGCTTAGTGCACAGACTTGATTCAAGCAGTTCAGATATCATTTAAAAAACTTTTTTTTAAAAAAAAGTACTGTATAAATATGCTACTCTGTGTCTTGTAGTGCATCTATTGAGATCATTGTTCTTGCAAGTATCCAGGACTTTTGCTTTTTAAGTTTTCCCAGCTGCTTTGAACATCTGCACACAAAACATTTTATAAAAATCAACAAAATAAACGGTGACATGTACAAATGTTCTTAGTCTTGTCTGATGGACACAATCTTTCCCCGCACACCATGAGCATCACCTCCAACTCCAACGGGCCTGTAAACAGCCCCCGCCAGTTAGTTGAAACCAGCAGGCAACTGGTATCACTAGAATGTTCTGCTAAAGAGCCTTTACCGTCATCCCTCCCAAAGGACAGAATGCGAGACCAAACAGATCATTGATTTGAACCAATATCACTATTCACATCCTTAGCATCTCCTCCGGAACAAGAGAGTTCAGCAGCAGCCAGCCTCTTTTTAGTAATTCCATTCATTTCAACTTTTACACCCTGCATTTCTAAACTACAGATTTCTAGCCCTTTATGGCACCAAATATAGGCTCACATTGATTTAGACCATGATGGCTGAACTTTGAGAAGCTTGAAAGGCATCTGAATAAGATTTCCAGCAGATCCAGATGGGGCTTTGGTATTCTTATTTAGTTCTCCTCCATACTAACCAAGACAGAATTAAATGATCAGACAACAGCAGGAATGCCCCAATAGAGACACTAGGCTAATGCGATCCATTTGTCTGTTTCCTGTAGCATGCCAAATTCAGTTAATTCCTAGCAAAAGGTCCGTGTATGTACTTAGCTCATAGGTCACACAGGATGTTAATGACACAATACAGCCATGGGGCAAATAGACACTAATTGAAGTTCACCGTTGGTAGGGACAGAGTTAAGCTATCTAGAAACTGGTGGCTTCTCTTGAGGGGTGAACAGGTGGGCAGCAAAAGAGGAGGCTCTTGTTCTGACAAAATCAGAAAAGCAGTGAAGACAGCCGCCCCCCAAGCCTAAATATCAAGGTACACAGTAATGGCCACTTTCCTGAACATGAAAAGTTTAAAAAGCAGATTGCTACATACCTTCACATAGATGATAGGGATGGTCTGTTTGGCTTTGGTGAAATGGCGGGCCACACGATAGACCGTCTCGGGCACAAAGTCCAGGACTAAATTAAGATAAACCTCATCCTTCTGTAACAGATTGTGGAAAAAGATGCAAGTAAGTTGGAACCTCGGGAAAGCGGCAATTTGGTGACAGTGAACAACACAGTCTACGATGCCACTGCCTGTACATACCACTGGCCCCTGTTAAAATCTCAAAAGATTTGTTCCAAAACCAAAGTGAAATATCTAAACCTCGCAGAGGGAGAAGCAACACGCAAAAGTGGAGTAGCAAATAATGAGCGCTGTATTTCTCAAAAGAGAAAAGCGCTTGTTGGTCTGTTCGGAAGACACAGCTGCAATCCTCGTTGGAGAGGGGCCAGCTGTTTCTTCCTCGGTAGTGAGTGCCAGGTATTCGGCATCCCATAATCACAACTTTCAAGCTGAAACTGCACTGTGCAGACCACGTCGGATGAGCCGTTCCTCAAATTAGGCTCTGGGAAAAAATACCAAAGACCTGGAAACAAGAAGGTCACTGAAGAGATGCCTCGGTACATCATTGATTATTATCACCTTTAATTTTCAGTCCCTAGCCTGGCTTGAGGAAGCAACGCAGTCACCCACAGAACAGCCGTCTCACAAATCTCGTATTTTAAGCAGATGGATGAAGACTCCTGAAAACCAGGTGGGTTTAAATGGATGAAATAAGAACAAAATGGCCAACAATACTATTGTCGCCTTCAGTGGGCAAATCATACAAGGTCCATTCACTGAAGCCGGTTAAACATACTGGGGTTTTTTTTCTGTCCACTTGCACCTCTCGGAGAAAAAGAAGAGGCAGTGTCGCTCAAGGGTGAAGACTACCACCAAGGTCACTGATGTTCAAATCCCCAGCTGGCCATGAAACTCATACAGGACTGTCTTAGCAGAGTTCTTATCTCTCAGCCTACAAGGCTGCAGTGAGAATACAATGGAGGTGGCCAGAAATATGTCAGCTAGCCTGAAAGCAGTTCTGGATGCCTCCTAGAGGAAAAAAACAGGATACAAATAAGAAACAGCTGGACATCTCATCTTCTATAATGAGGACTGTATCCTTGCACTCTACCTTAATCCACATCCCTACTATGTATTCGGTCACAAATGCAGACTGGACTACCCAAAGTGTGTGTGTGTGTATAGCAGAGGGAGAGTAGCCTTGATTGTCCAAACAATGGTGGTTAAAGGATTAAGCCAGATTGTTTTAAGTATGCACCCTTAAAAATGTGTTTTGGAGAAGATGGATACTATTTCTCCTCCACGCTCTACACCACTGGATTTCCTGAAATCCAGAGCAAAACAACCTTCTTCTTCTCCTTCCCTCACCTTTTCCCCATTTGAGTAGAAGAAATACCGCAGGCGAACAATATTGCAATGATCCAGCTTCCTCATGATCTGCAGCTCACGGTTCTGTAGTTAAAAAATAAGAAAGACTAAAGGTGAGCCACAGAGACTTTGTGTCAAAATAATAATAATAATAATAAAAACCCCGAGAGAAGAAGAGGCACTCTTCCTTCCAACTCACCTTGAAACGTTTATCTTGCAGCACCTTCTTGATAGCCACCAGCTCCCCAGAGTCCACAAGTCGGGCCTGGTAGACGACCCCAAATGACCCATTGCCGATGACCTTGATATCAGAGTATGAGACTTCTTGGGGGCGATCTGGGCCTTGGCCAGGTGTGGCCACCACCGTGGTCACTTTGCCGCTGTCTCCTGTTGGGGGGGGGGGAAGAAGAGAAATATTATAGAAACAGGGTTCTGAACTTCCAATGAAATGCCAAGTTACTTCCAAGGAGTCTGAAGCACTCCTTGACCTCCTCTTTGCAAACATATCTGGGCCCTTCCTAGTTATCAAAACACTATGAACACTAAATGCCCCCGGATATGAATTGAACAGAGTTACCTTTGTCTGACCCAAGCTACTCTAGCCCATTGGCCTCCAAATTCACACTCTATACTCAACAACTGAAACGAGTAAGCAAACATCTCCTGGCATAACTTTCTGTGAAATCCTCACCTCATATTAACCCGCACTACTGCAAAAACTTTTTCGTAACACGGAGCATCAATTGTAGTCCTCTGTATCAAATACAACATTTTGAAGTGTGACCCCCCCATCTCCCTAACATAACCAAGGAGGAGAGGGAGAGAGGGACAGCTATAGGAAGAAAAACTAAGCGACCAAACACACTGAGGCTAGGAGAGTCTTGTTCCCCATTCTCCAGAGCTTGGAAAAATAACTTTTCACCTCAAGGTGACTAACATACTAAATACCAACCTAGGTTTTGCCATTCCATGCTCCCTTTTGTCGTTCCACACTGGAAATTGTACCCCTTTTCAGTTTCCAGTCTCACGCCTCAGCCTTCACGCACCCACAACACCTTATTCCCACCACCACCTTCCAACTCCACACCTGTCCTGCCTTTACCTGAGCGAAAGTGGCCACGCCCATTCGACAGTTACTAGGCAACCAATCCCTACTCCGGTTCTCTCTACCTTTTCATCAAGCATCTCTCTCTCTCTCTCTCTCTCATACTCCTGCCATTTTTCATGGGGAAAGCACCAGGTCATTTCTAGACACTCCAATCCTCTCAACACCTACCTGGCACTAAATAAAAGTGAAGCCATCCTAGCACCAGCAGCAGCAGCAGCGCTCCCAGGCGAGCCTCGCTCTCTAACCCCCTCCTGGAAAGGAATACCTCTCTGGCTTACCCTCCCTGACGTCCCCCCCCTTCCATGAGTTCATCCTGATGTCACTGATATAAATCCGGACCCCTCGGCTGACCTCGAATAGCTCCCGCCACCGGTCCCCTTGCCTTGCCTTGCCCTGGGGTCTTGCCAACAGAGATCCCTGCCCCTTGCCTCTTCTGCCCCTGGGCCCTGGCATCCGATCCTATGACCCTTCTATCTATCTATCTATCTATCTATCTATCTATCTATCTATCTATCTATCTATCTATCTATCTATCTATCTATCTATCTATCTGATTTATACCCTGCCTATCTGGATGACCAGATCACTCTTGCCCATTTCTCCTTCCAGCAACCTGCTTGGGGTGCCTTCCCTCGGCCCTGGATCCACTTGCCCTCCTTGAAAAACCTTAAAAGGCCAGAAACCCAGGATGGCCCGTCATCCCAAAGGCCTCCTGCCCCAGGGCTCCCCCCCCATTGAGCCTTCGGAGGCCTTAAATGACCCCCCTCCTTTTACTCCACCTAAGCCAGGCCGGGGGGGGGGGGACGGGGTTTCCCAAAAA